ATACTACACAGCCATATTTTTTTTCAAAATCATGTCCTTTGTAGCAACTTTTTTTTAGCTAGAGGCTATTATCCTAAGAATTTTTTTTCCAGCAACAGAAAACCAAATACTTTTTTTTTTTACCTATAAGTGGGAGCTAAACATTTTTTTTTCATGTCCGCAAAGAAGAAAACAATGGACACTGGGACCACTTGAGGGTGAAAGCCGGTTTTTTTTTGAGGATCCCAAAAGTGCCCAGTGAGTACTATGCTCATTACCTGGGCAAGGAAATCTTTTTTTTGCCAAACCCCTGCAATACACAGTTTTTTTTTTGAATAAACCTGCACATGTATCCCCTTTTTTTTAAAGTTAGAAACAAAAATAGAAAAAGAAAAACCTTAACTGGAGCTGAGTTTTAATCTTTTTTTTGCCATCAATTTTGGGCAAGTCGCATTTTTTTTTGGCTCAATTTCCTCATCTAGAAATTTTTTTTAATTTTACTTACCTTGCTGGGTTGTTTTTTTTGAGAGCATGACGCTTGTAAAGCACTTTTTTTTGTACTCTCAGTTCACAGTAACTACTTTTTTTTATTAGTCTTTCTCTTTAGGAAGAGTTTTTTTTTCTTCCTCTCATTTAGAGCCAGGCTTTTTTTTGTTCAAAAACAAAGATCCTTGCAGTTTTTTTTACACCAAGTCTCTACAAAAAATAGTTTTTTTTAGCCGGGCATAGTGGTGTACACCTTTTTTTTTGCCACTCAGGAGGCTGAGGTGGGATTTTTTTTTGAGCCTGGGAAGTTGAGGCTGCAGTGAGTCATAATTGCACCACTGCACTTTAGCCTTTTTTTTAGGGCAAGACCCTGTTTCAAAAAATTTTTTTTAAAAGAAAAGAAAGATCCATCCTGTTTTTTTTTCTTGGGAGCTTGGCCCTGTGGTGATAGGCCCATGGAAAGGTGAGGGTTCAGTGTTTTTTTTTTGGGGTGGGTCAGCTGCCCGCGTCTTTTTTTTTGTGTCCTGAAGGGGCCCTGTGTGGTTTTTTTTTCCTGGGGTGTGGGGGCAGAGGCGTTTTTTTTAAAAGGAGCGGGAAGAGCCTCCAATTTTTTTTTGGTTTCTAGGCAGTACCTTCAGATTTTTTTTGAAATGGACAAGAAGTGGAGCCTGTTTTTTTTATCACGGTCGAGACAGGAAGGCCCTTTTTTTTTGGGCTCCTCCCCTTCCCTTTGTCCATAGGCCTCAGCCGTGAGAGAATTTAACTGCTTTTTTTTCTAGGAGACCTGGGTTGGTTGTCTGGGGAGTAAGTTCTAAAGGGGCCCCTTGTCTTTTTTTTTTACAGGCGGTAGGGTAGGGCATGGCTTTTTTTTGTCGCAATGAAGAGGATGAATCCGTTTTTTTTGGTGGCTCACGCCTGTAATCCCAGTTTTTTTTGAGGCTGAGGAGGGCAGATCACAATTTTTTTTGTTCGAGACCAGCCTGGACAATACTTTTTTTTCCCATCTCTACTAAAAATACAAAATTTTTTTTGGCATGGTGGCAGGCGCCTGTAGTCCCAGCTACTTGGGAGGCTGAGGCAGAAGAATTGCTTGAACCCGGGAAGCGGAGGTTGCAGTGAGCCGAGATTACGCCACTGCACTCCAGCCTGGGTGACAGAGCAAGACTCTGTCTCGAAAAGAAAATTTTTTTTAGGAAAAGGAGGAATCCCCAGAAGTTTTTTTTCAGGCGTCCAGTCCTGAGAATGCCTTTTTTTTCACCCTGGTGACCCACAGCCGGTATTTTTTTTAGCTCTGGCCTGGGTACCCAGCATTTTTTTTTTCCCACCAGGGCCCGCTGGACGCCTTTTTTTTATGCCACCTCCTTGGCAGCTTCTTTTTTTTTTTCTGTTTTCCTGAAAGGAAGCTAGTTTTTTTTTTATTTTCCTCAGGTGCTGACTAGTTTTTTTTTAATGACCCAGAAGGTGGCATTTGTTTTTTTTGTCCCTCTCTCTCCTCTTCCCCACTTTTTTTTCCCCACACCAAAGGTGTCCAGTTGTTTTTTTTAGGATGCTCTATGGCCCAGCACCCTTTTTTTTCCTGGGAGGAGAGTAGCCAATAAATTTTTTTTATCAAGAGCACGGTCTGTCTCCTACTCCTCCAGGGCAGGAACTGGTAAAAGTCAGCTTTTTTTTATTGGGTTCTTTGCAAATGAGGGATTTTTTTTACTGAGGAAGGAGAGTGTTTGCAATTTTTTTTGACTACAACCCCACCTACCCTTCCTTTTTTTTCGCTTTCCTATTCCTTCTTCTCTCTACCCACACCTTCCATAAGCCTTCTTCCTTTCTTTTTTTTCTCCTATTTGGGAGGCAGACAGACTTTTTTTTGACACTTTCGGCAGGTTATTTGTCTTTTTTTTGCCAGTTTCCATGTCTGTAAAACATTTTTTTTCCACCGGCACGTGACTGTTGTGAGTTTTTTTTGGAGTGAGTACAGCAGCTGGCCCCAGTGTTTGTTCTCCAGGTTCTCTGTTTGTGCTTTTTTTTTCAGTTAGGGGGGACTGATTAGCTGCTGTATGTCTGGAGCCACTAAAGGTCCCAGGCTTTTTTTTAAAAGAGGGTGCAGTACGGGGGTCCTGAGGGGTCGGAAACTCAGAGAAGGTCTGACTTTTTTTTAGAGGAAGTAAACCCAGAGGTCAATTTTTTTTTGCCTAGAGGTAGTAGTGATCTCCTTTTTTTTGCCGGACACAGTGTCCTGGCTTCTTTTTTTTTCCCACAGGCCTCTGAGGGGTCAGGTTTTTTTTCAGCATCCAAAAGAACATCCACTGTTTTTTTTGCGGGGATGGGCCCTTTTATTCATTTTTTTTTCATTAACTCCCTCCTACCCCAGCAACCTGCATGAGATCAGTGTTTTCATTCCCACGTTTTTTTTGAGAAAACAGAGGCTCTGAGAGATAGGTAGGCAGCTGGTGAGGAATAGGGCTGGGATTTTTTTTGTCTAGGTAAAGTCCCCAGAGCCATTTTTTTTCTGAAGAAGGACATCTGAACCAGATTTTTTTTCAGGTAAGGACTCCTGGAAGCAACTTTTTTTTATGAGTCATGGTGGACAGCCATAATTTTTTTTAGAAGCCCCCTACCCCAAATTTGGTTTTTTTTGTTAGTTTTCCTCTCCAAAGTCCATTTTTTTTCAAAGCTAGGGACAGGCAGCACCTTTTTTTTTGCCCCCCCGCCTCCCTTCCTTGGATTTTTTTTCTTACCATAGCCTCAGGTCCCTAAAGTACAGCAGTTCCCACTGGGGGTATGTGAAATAGGGCTAACAGAGAATGGCCAGGTCTGCCCTTTTTTTTTTCCCATGGGCCCAGCAACTCCTGGTTTTTTTTGGATCTCTGGAGAGCAATGGGGCATTTTTTTTTACTGAAGCCTGTCCTCTGCTGCTCCAACTGTGTTCCTTCCACAGCTTTCTCTGGATTTTTTTTAACAAGAGCCTGACCCTCACTCAATTTTTTTTCCTGCCTTCCTTGTAATGCCAGAAAAAATCTCCTTGCTCACACAATTTTTTCATTTTTTTTTTTTCTGGGGCCAGGTGCGGTGGTTCATTTTTTTTATCCTAGCACTTTGCGGGGGCCGATTTTTTTTGATCACCTCAGGTCAGGAGTTTGATTTTTTTTTGGCCAACATGGCAAAACCCTATCTCTACTAAAAATACAAAAATTAGCCAGGTGTGGTGGCATGTGCCTGTTGTCATCCCTGCTACTTGGGAGGCTGAGGCATGAGAATCACTTGAACCCTTTTTTTTGAAGTTGCAGTGAGCCGAGATGGTTTTTTTTTACTCCAGCTTGGGCAACAGATTGAGACTCCAACTCAAAACAAAAAAAGAAAGAAAGAAAGAAAATGCTCTGGGGGACCTTCTCGTTCATTTTTTTTTGAATAAGAGGAGGAGGATCCTGTTTTTTTTTCCCACCTACTTTTTTAGGGAATAATTTTTTTTGGTATGCTCTGGACCTGAGGCCATTTTTTTTTGGGCTTGCCCTTTGGTGACATCCCTTTTTTTTAGTCTGTGATCTGGGATAACCTATTTTTTTTTCCCCAAAGTCTCCACGGAATGGCAACGGCCCACTGGACCAACCCAACCAAGTTATATTTTTTTTTCTCTACCTACAGGCTGCCTCCCCTGACATGGGGAGACAGACATCGAGGAGATCTGTTTTTTTTACAGGAGCTCCAAGGGAAATCACATTTTTTTTCACCTTATATATAAAACTGCTTTATTTTTTTTTCAGCTATTAGGAAAACAAAGCCCTTTTTTTTGTTCTATCAAAAAGTACAAATTTTTTTTTTTTGCATCAGAAAAATGGCAGCCAGATTTTTTTTTCACAGTCACAACCTCAAAGGCCTTTTTTTTTTGGAAGGGAGAATTAGGGAGGAGGTTCCTAGAACTCAAGGAAGAGGCTGGGCAACAGGGGGTCTTTGGGTGCCTGCAGAGCTGGGTCCTGGAGCTACCAGGCAAGGACCCTGCTTCCGTTTTTTTTTTTTTGGAAAAATGGAAAGAACTGGCATTTTTTTTAAATGTTGAGTCTGGAGCAGAAAGTTTTTTTTGTCATTTATAAGGTATGATTACTCTTTTTTTTCCTGAGGCACATGGGTTGAATAAAATGGGGGATCAGAGCCACAGGGTCCCCTGGCTTTTTTTTTGCTTGCCCCTGGCTGGTACCATCTTTTTTTTTCCACAGGTTAAATTAAGGTAGACCTTTTTTTTTGCGTAATCCCGGCAGCCTGGGATTTTTTTTTAGTCTTTAGATCAGGTATGTTGCTTCACTGGCAAACTGGTGTCTGTCCCCCAAGAGTTTTTTTTCAATGAGAAGCAGCAAGTCTCCTTTTTTTTTTTGTCCTCGGAGTCACTGTGGGCACTTTTTTTTGACAAGGAACATCTGAGGGCAGTCTCTGCCATTCAGGCATCCTGAGAAGCCCCAAGTTTTTTTTCCAGGGTTTCTCCGAATGACAGGCAGATGCACAGGAAGCTGGCGTTGAAACCAGTCTTTTTTTTCTGCTGGCCCCACACCCTATGGTCTTTTTTTTCACGCCTCCTTGGTGACATTAGGCTTTTTTTTGGCAAAGAGGGAGAAGTCCAGGATTTTTTTTTGCAGCACATCCTGCAGCAGGGCCCTTTTTTTTCTGCACAAGTGGTAATGCAGGCTTTCGGGGCTGGCTGGCCGGTACCAGGCCTGGCGTTTTTTTTATTGGACGTGGGGTGGTGCCCGTATTTTTTTTAGCACCTGATTGGCATCAGCCTCCTTTTTTTTATAGGAGCCCACAAAGTCATAGTGCACGGCACAAGGCTGGCACAGGTGGTACACGGTTTTTTTTTGCTCATTCATGCGTTCAGGGTCTTTTTTTTTCAGGTATCTCAGGAACTCAGGGAATTTTTTTTCGTCGCCTGCGGGGCTGGGCCCCGCCCCAGCCCTGTACCGCCTCACTATCTCAGCCTTTTTTTTTTGCTGGTACTCTCGGATCTCGCCTTTTTTTTTGCGGTAGGCAGAGAGGAGGCGTTTTTTTTTTTCCCGCACAAACAGGAACTTAAAGTTTTTTTTCAGGCGGTAGCGAATCTCCTCAGGTTTTTTTTCTGCCAGGAACACCAGGTCACTGCTTTTTTTTATCTTGAGGCGGACGTCCACGCTGTTTTTTTTACCCGCCAGCACCTTTAGCACCCGTTTTTTTTTAGAGCAGGCCACCTTGGGGACGTTTTTTTTTAGGAAGCGGTAACGGTCACTTACGTTTTTTTTGCGCAGCAGGGTGCGCCGCTGCCCTTTTTTTTAGTCCCAGGGGTCCTGGGGCATGCCCGGCTGTCCGCACACCGCCCGCAGGGTCCTGTTTTTTTTGTCCTGCCGCACTTGCAAGTCCGCTTTTTTTTCACTCAGGGACAGGCCCCCAGGCTTTTTTTTTTTCCCGCGCCAGGCTGCGCCCTCGTTTTTTTTCGGGTACAGGGGCAGGGGCTTCATTTTTTTTTGGATGCCCCGCTCGATCATGAGCATTTTTTTTCTGGAGGCCACAATCACCGCGAACTTTTTTTTGGACGGCAGCAGCAGGGGCGGCCCCCCCAGCCCCGCCCGGGACCTGCCCAGAGGGGTTTTTTTTAGCGCCCGGCCCAGGGGCTCGGCGTTTTTTTTGGCCGCCAGCGGGGTCAGCGGGCGGGGGAACATGGTGCTCCCGGGGTGGGGGCCTGTTTTTTTTCGGTCGATCCGAGGGCGGCCTGGGTTTTTTTTTCGGGCTGGGGGCGGGAGGAGGGTTTTTTTTTGGAGGGAGTTGGGGAGGGGAGGGCTTTTTTTTGCCCTGGCGCGTGTAGGGTGGCCGTTTTTTTTGCTGCGGCGCTGAAGCGGGCGGCGTTTTTTTTGCGGCGGGCGCGGTGAGGGACCCGTTTTTTTTGTCCCGCCCGGCCGCTCTCCACCCGCGGCCTCGCAGTGACACAGGCGCGGGGGCGGTTTTTTTTCGGGGGCGGGGAGAGGGGCGGGCGTTTTTTTTGGGCGCGGGCTGGGGAGGGCGCACTTTTTTTTCTACCCGGAAGAGGGCGCCTGAGTTTTTTTTTCCCCTGTCCTCTGGGCTTGGGGACTTTTTTTTCTGAGACTTCGAAGGCAGGAAAGATTTTTTTTCGCTCTCGTGCAGCGTGTGTCTACTTTTTTTTGGACCAGGGGGATCCACCACAAACTTTTTTTTGCCCTAGCCCTTCCTCCAGCAACCGGTCTGGAGGCAGGGAGGCCCGCAGCGCTCTCTTTTTTTTCAGACATGCCGGAGGCTGGTCTTTTTTTTTTTAAGCAGAGTCCTCGGTGTGCTCCCTTTTTTTTCCCTTACCTCCCTCTGTCCCGCAGGTCGTGGCCACTCCAGGAAAGAGCAGGACTGTTTTTTTTTGACCAGTGTCTCCATGGTGACCCTTTTTTTTTGCAATACCTGGGGACTGACTACAGTTTTTTTTCACTGGGTAATGCTGAAACGTCTGTTTTTTTTATCTCCCCTCCTTTATCTTCTCCTTTTTTTTTATGAGGCAGTGGGATAACTGGGCATTTTTTTTAGGGGCTGATGGCGTTGGTCTGTCTTTTTTTTGTGTGGCCAACACACATTTGGAAGTTTTTTTTGCTGAGGGCACAGAACAGCTGGGATTTTTTTTGCAGTCTCCTTGTCTGGAGCTAAATGTGTGCTCCATGGCACCAGGCTGGTCACTTGTTTTTTTTGCAGACCCCAAGTGCTTTGGATGTTTTTTTTTACCATTTCCCACTGGGAACCCGGCTTTTTTTTCTGACTTCGTCCAGCTACGTTCTTTTTTTTTTTGGAGAGTCAGCAAGGCTCCGAAGTTTTTTTTCAATACGATTAGAGCCCAAGTGCACTTGGGACAGTGGCCGCTAAGTGTTTTGTATTCATTATCTCCTTTAGTTGTTACAGCCACCCTGTTTTTTTTCTCGTGTGGGCATTCCCTTTGTATTTTTTTTTACAGGCTCAGGGAAGATGAGACTCTTTTTTTTTGGTTCTGATTCTAAAATCTAAATTTTTTTTTGCGGCCCTTGAGAGATTAATGGGGTTTTTTTTAGAATGGCTAGAAGGGAGGAAGCAGCTGACTTGAGGGCAGACTGTACAGAGCAGGTTTTTTTTTACACAAGATACTACTGGGAGAATGGAGCTACCAGTGATCAGATGAATTCAGAAGAATGAGGGGACTTGAGGGATGAGGTGACACCAGATTTTTTTTTGATGGCCCCCCAATCCCAGCAATTTTTTTTTACACAGGATGAGCCAGGGGAAGGATTTTTTTTGCCTTGCAGCCTTCCATCTCTCCATTTTTTTTTCTCCACATCCCATTGCCCCGGTGTTTTTTTTGGCTACCACCTGTCCATTTGCTGCTTTTTTTTTTTATGTGAAGGTTTTGCCTTGACTTTTTTTTTCCTTGCTTCCAATAGTTCTAAAGTTTTTTTTTTCTGGTGATAGGATTTTCTATTATTTTTTTTTTTTCCAGTAAGTATGTCTTTTAATTTTTTTTAGGAAAAAAAGACCTTAGACCTTTTTTTTTTTTTGATAATGTGGCTACATGTGCTCTTTTTTTTAACGTTAGAGGGTAGTTTTCCGTGTTTTTTTTCAGGGTGAGGCAGTGGGAGTCCTTTTTTTTTTAACTTATCTTCATACCACTTTGTCTGTAAGATGAGGACAGGCTACCACTCACCTCATTTTTTTTTTGTGGATAACACACTGAAGGCAGAACCAGAAAAATGCATGGTGGTGTCTGTGCCATTTTTTTTTTCTGAAGAAATGTTCCTGCCCACTTTTTTTTTGCCTTAGCAAAACGCAGAAGAGGTTTTTTTTTGTGCTGTGTGCCTTGGCTCCCAGGAACCTCTATGGCCTTAGAGCTGCCCCACCTGTTTTTTTTTCAACACTGAAGCTTCCAGACTGGTTTTTTTTCTGGGCTGAAGCAGGGGTCAGCGGGCCACAAACCTTTGGCCCCATGATGTGGCCTTTTTTTTTTCAGCAAGCAAGCAGCACCAGCTGCTTTTTTTTGAGGCCCCAGTACAGTGCTGGCCATTTTTTTTAGGTGATGAGGAGGGATCTTTTTTTTTTTTTTTCCAAGACAGTATCTCACTCTGTCTTTTTTTTTGCAGTGGTGTGATCATGGCTCACTTTTTTTTCGGGCTCTTGGGCTCAAGCAATCCTCCTACCTTTGCCTCCCGACTGAGATTACAGGTTTTTTTTGACAGGCCTGGCTAATTTTAAAATTTTTTTTTAGACATAGTCTATGTTGCCTAGGCTTTTTTTTAACTCCTAGGCTCAAATAACCCTCTTTTTTTTGCCTTCCAAAGCACTGGGATTACATTTTTTTTCCACTTCGTGAGAGAAGGTATCTTTTTTTTTTACCTACTTGGGGACCAATTTCCAAGTCACTGGCCAGGTGAGGGCTGGCAACCGAAGTATTTTGCACAGACCTAAGCAGGCAGCTGTGGTTTTTTTTAAATCAAGAAGTCACCTCCAAGTTTTTTTTTTCTCTGTCTCCTCCCCTCACTCTCTTTTCCCCCTGCTTCCCTGCCCTCTTTGCTCACTTTTTTTTGTGAGCACCCATGCCACAGGGGTTTTTTTTTTACCTCTGAAATAAGAATAGTGAGTTTTTTTTTACCCACACATCAAAAGACAAAAGGTTTTTTTTGAAATGATCCTTTTCTAAATCAATTTTTTTTTTCAAATTTATTTTTTTCTTAAAGATTTTTTTTTAATCTCTGTCAAAAGGGAGGTGAGGAAAGGTCCTTCCTCCCTTGTAAACACTGAATTTTTTTTCTGGGAAACCAGGATCAACACACATTTTTTTTGCATTTTACAAAATATCAACTAAATTTTTTTTTACATGGATTATGCTTCCATTGAATTTTTTTTAGCTGCATTTTCAGGTTCGAAAAATTTTTTTTACATCTAAGAGATTTCAAAAGCATTTTTTTTTAGGGCAGCAGACCCTACCTCCTGGTTTTTTTTCTATGATCTCCTTTCCTGCTAGGTGAGGCTGGGCTCCTTGGCAGCAAGGGCTCAGATTTTTTTTGCTCCAAGCCTGGCTCTGCAGAGCTTTTTTTTCCACTCTGCCAACCTCATTTACTGTTTTTTTTTCCCAGACGGACACCTTCCTCCAATTTTTTTTTTCAATACAAGGAGACCCAAGTCCTTTTTTTTCAGGTTTGGGATCAGGCTTCCCAATTTTTTTTTCACCTCTGAAGCCTCCAGGCCTCTTTTTTTTCCAATGACCAATCAGGAGCAACTCATCTACTAAGGGACAGGGCAGGGCATGTCGGGTTTTTTTTCAGGGTTCATTTCTACCTCCCTCTTTTTTTTTTGCCCAACTGTCCTCACCCAGTGCCACCTCCTCAGCCTGCTGGGTTCGTCTGCCCCTTTTTTTTAAGGAAAGACCCAGGGCTGCAGTTTTTTTTTTTGGCCCCTGCCCCTGGGAGTATGCTTTTTTTTAAGTGCTCAGCTAGCAGGTTCCCAGCGCCACGCCCAAGCCACACTGCACTCCACTCTTTTTTTTACCATGCTCCTCTTTGGTACAAATTTTTTTTTGCCAGGCTGCTCCAGCCCCCTCACTTTTTTTTAGGGCCAGGGCCAAGGCCTAGTCTTTTTTTTTACAACAGGGGACTGAGCCTCTTAGTTTTTTTTGGGGAGCAGCATGAGGTGAGAACATTTTTTTTGGGCAACAGGAACAAACTGAAAATTTTTTTTTTTAGCTCCTAGAGTAAGTGGCTGCAGCTCAGCAGGTCTGTGGACTGATACAGTGTTTTTTTTTTCTGGGATGTAAATTAGTGCAATCTTTTTTTTTCTAGGGAAAAGGTGGCAGGGCAAGTTTTTTTTCAGCACTCCTTTGGTTTGATTTCATTTTTTTTTGGCTTGAAAAATCATGTGTGAAGTTTTTTTTGAGGTTTACTGGAACCTCCATGTGTTTTTTTTGAGGAAAAATCTCCAACAAATCAGTTTTTTTTTTTCCTTGCCCCCTGCCCCCAACCCTCTCCCAGCACCCATCTTCCCTCCCAGACATTTTTTTTTCCACAATCATCAGCTAACTTTCTGTTTTTTTTGACCTGCTGGGTGGCCCTCTCTGGGAGGTGGACAGGAGACTCCCTCAAGCGGGCCATTTTTTTTACTGTGAAGGGTGGGTCAACTTGTCCCAGCACCAGTTGCTACTGCAGGGCAAAGGAGGAAAGCCAGACAAAGGCCTCAAGTCTAGGAAGAGGAAGTCAATGCTCTGGAAGCCAGACTCTGTTTTTTTTTGCCTCAAAGGAACAAGCTCAGAGCTGTGCTGGGATCTAGGAAAGCCTGGTCCCAGTTTTTTTTGGAAGCGGCGGGTCACAGTGGGTGTTTTTTTTCTGGCTCCCACTCCCCCTTTGAGGGCCCGGAGGAGGCTACAGAAGGGCCTGTTGAGTTTTTTTTCTGAAGGACCTTGCCCCTCCTTGCTTTTTTTTCCCTCCTAGGGCCCCATGCCCCTCTTTTTTTTCCCAGCCTCAGAGAAGACTACTTCTTTTTTTTTCTCCACCCAGGGGAACCACAGAAGGTACCTTGGGCCAAGCTGAGAGCTCTGACGCTTTTTTTTTACCCTGGCCTCCCCAGCTCCCTCTTTTTTTTCCCAGAACCCACGGGGGCCCCTGCTTTTTTTTCACCCAAGAAAACCACAGGCCAGCTTTTTTTTGCCTCTGTGGCCCCCTAACCAAGTTTTTTTTTTCAAGCAGTGCCCCCTACCCCGAGTTTTTTTTGCCCACAGGTAGCCCCAGCGTGGGTTTTTTTTGGCTACTGGGGGTTCTTAAGGATGCGCCCGTGGCGGAAGTCATAGACATGGCGGCAAAGGAACACCAGCTCAGGGTCCGTGTCCTCTGTTTTTTTTCGGTGGGGTGGGGTGGAGTAGTCTTTTTTTTTGGGAACCAGTGCTGTCTTTCGGCTGGGAAGGCCTTCGCCTCGGCGCTTGGCCATGGTTTTTTTTCTGCAGAGAGATACCATTCACTATTTTTTTTTCAGTCACTTTTGCAGAAGACCAATTTTTTTTTTACCCTACCCTACCCTACTCTACCTTTTTTTTTAGGCTATCCTAGCTCCCCAAGGGGTGGTGCTGTCTCCACCCATCCCAGGGGTGATTTTTTTTTTGCCAACCACCAGGCTATCTTCTCTTTTTTTTGAGAACCACACCTGCCAGGGCCTCTTTTTTTTCGCCTACCAATTCGCCAAAATTTTTTTTTTTTGCAGTAATGTTACCCCCCAACTCTGCTCCAACCATTCTACCTCAGTGTGGCAACAATTTTTTTTTCTTCCAAAAAAGAATCAGATGGTTTTTTTTTGCAATAAGGAAGTAAGTTCTGGGATTTTTTTTTCAGGGAGTAACATCAGGTAGAGATTTTTTTTAGATCCTCTCGGGGAATTTCAAGCAGCCCCCAAATATGCCTGGGGAGCCTGAGGGAAGAGGCCAGCCAGAGGGTGCAGGGAACCACCCTTTTTTTTTACTCGGCAAAAGTCAGCACATAGTTTTTTTTCTCAATGCAGGCCACACTGTTCTGTTTTTTTTGTCGCGATGCAAAGACTTCATTCTTTTTTTTTTCAAAGGGAGACAGGTGGAGGTTGTTTTTTTTGCTGGAAAGCACCTCATTCCAGGAGCAAGGTGTACATTAACCCCTCTGCTGGCCTGTTTTTTTTCGATGACTCCAGCAAGCCAGGAAGTTTTTTTTGAAATTCAGTCTAAGTATGCCTCATTTTTTTTCTCCAGGTATTCCTCCTGAGTCCCTTCTAGGTCCCCTCCTTCTCCAGAATAGCCAGTTTTTTTTTCCAGCTCCTGACTCACTGACCTCTTTTTTTTCAGCTCTGCCTAGCGTAGGAGAGGTTTTTTTTTCATCTTTCTAGTTAGATGAAAAGTTTTTTTTAGGGAAAGTGAAATAAAAGGTGAGCCCAGGGCACACACAGGTGGCAGTCACCTCTTTTTTTTTTCGGCTTGGTGGAGAGCCTATGGGGTTTTTTTTCGAGTCTCTTCTCCCCTCCCTCCCTTTTTTTTGACAATACCAAAAGTGACCAGGTATTTTTTTTCACCTCACCTTTCCTGTTGCCAGGAGAACACATCCGTTTGCTCTCACTAGCACCTGTTTTTTTTAGGGTTCCCTTTCTGTTCCCCTTTTTTTTTTTAAGGTTATTATTCCCTTTGAAACATTTTTTTTGGCAGTGCTGGGAAAAGAGAATAATTTTTTTTTCCTTTCCCAGGTTCTCTGGAGTCTTTTTTTTAAGCAAGGGATTTGACTACAGCCCATGGCTGCCCTCCCCCTACCACGTCTTAGTGCTTTTTTTTTTCCCTCTGTCTCTCCTGCCCTCCTTTTTTTTTCTGCCGGGCAGCTCACCTCGTGCATGCTGGGACTGCGGCCTCCCTGTAAGTGCTCTTTTTTTTAATACCACAGGAGGCTCATCATCATTTTTTTTGGGGGGACAACACAGTGGTTATAGTTTTTTTTGGCAACTTGTGTTACTCAGGCAGAGAGGCTGGCTGGTTGCCCTGGAGGTTCATCCATTTTTTTTGCCTGGCCCAATCCTGCAGGCTCCTTTTTTTTATGTCCCCTGCCCCAGGCCAAGCATTTTTTTTCCTGGAATGCTGTTAGGCATGGAGGGAGAAGGGGGAGAAGGCACTGACAGGTGAGGTTTTTTTTCAGGTGCCCAGGCTCTGCTGGCTGTTTTTTTTAATGAGCTGATCCAACCCAAGCCATTTTTTTTCCCACAGCCCTCGGCAGCAGACAGTTTTTTTTCGAGTGGAAGGCAGACTCTGTGCCTTTTTTTTGGGGAGACTCATGCCAGGTCAAACTTTTTTTTGGGGCCAATCTGGGGCCTACAGTTTTTTTTTTGACAGCTGCCCCTTGGGTCCCCAGTTTTTTTTAGAGGTACCTGACTCGGGGTTCTCTTTTTTTTCAGAGATCTTGGCCACATAAGGTGTTTTTTTTTTTCGTGGGCCTGACTTGAGGAGGACAGTGTCCCGGACTCGGATTGTCTCCCCATGTTTTTTTTCCGCCTGGTAGCTCTTTCGGATGGTTTTTTTTGGCTCATCCTAGGCAACAAACCAATTTTTTTTATAGGCTTGCAGGGCCACACTCAGTTTTTTTTCAGAGGGAGGAAATGACATCCTCTTTTTTTTTTCCTCACGGTAGTCAAACCACTACCTTGGTTTTATCAAACCACTATGCTTGTTTAGTTTTTTTTGGGGCATTCTCATGGTTGGAGAAATTTTTTTTAATGGGAACAAGGGTGGAAGAGTGGCCTGATGCTTCTGGGGCTGAGGTCTGACCACCACACCCTTGACAGCTGACTCTCACTCCAAGCTTTTTTTTGCTGGGTAAGTGCTCATGCTTCCTTTTTTTTTAAGTCTCGAGCTGAACTCTTAAACCACTGTTATAAGGGGCACAGCCTTTGACAAATTTTTTTTTGTGTTGCTAAGCCTCAGCTTCCACTTTTTTTTAATGGGATTAATTATAGGAAGATATTTTTTTTATCGCATAGGATAGTGGCGAGGATTTTTTTTTATAATACTTACAAAGTGCTTAGCTTTTTTTTTGCATCTAAGACGTGCTCAATAAATTTTTTTTTTTTATTTATTTATTTATTTATTTTTTTTTTTTGGGTCTCACTCTGTTACCCAGGCTTTTTTTTTGTGGTGCAATCATAGTTCACTGCATTTTTTTTCTCCTGGACTCAAGCGATCCTCCTTTTTTTTTCTCTCAAGTAGCTGGGACTACAGATTTTTTTTACCATGCCTGGCTAATTAAAAAAATTTTTTTTCTGTACAGACAGGATCTTGCTATGTTGCTGTGATGACATGGGATGGAGACCCTGGCCTCTGTAAGTATTAATTGGCCGGTGGTGCGATTGGCTCACCCTCTGTTAATGCCGAGTACCTGGTCTAGTTGGATCTTGTGTCCGAGGCGTGTGCGGTCACTGACGGTCATGGAGAGTCGAGACCAATCCTGGCAAACACTGGGTAACCCCGTCTGT